ATCTTCCTCTCTTTCCCTAAGCGGGGGACACATATTCTCTGAAATAGATTCTGTCATAGTTTGCTTTGATATTTCTGTATATTAAAGTATAGAATACTTTCTGTTTTAAGAAGTTTACTTTAATGTTAATATCCACGATAACGGACCGATATGAAATCGTAATTGTTCAAAGGATTAATATCATGTACCGTCACTTGTTATAATAGTAATTTGATTACATAACGTGTTTGCTATTATCCGCCTGGTCATTGCAGTATAAAGGAGCTTGGTTTTTTATTACTTATTTTTTTCTTCATATTGTATTATTATCATTATATTATATATGTAATGCTTATATTTCATTGTGAACTACCCTGTATATCAGTAGTTCAAATCTGAGAACTTACATGTGAGGATCAAGTCAATTTTGCTTTGTTATAATCATGATTATATTGTTGTTTCTTAATTGTATATGCCCCCAGAGGGCCCTTGATTGGTGAAATAAATAAATAAATATATGTATCTATATTTTATATACTTCGCCATTAGGAAGATTGTATCATTGAAATCAAATAATGATTGTTAAAACATAATGCCTTACCAACTTTCACTCTAACACACAAAACCTTACTTTTAATCTATATTTTCTTAATGCAATACTTGTGCATTTACAATTATGTGCTTTCTGATTAATAAGATGACTCTTGGAAAAACAAAGAGAGCTGATAACTCTAAAACGTGTTTTTCACTATAGAAATCGAAGGAAAATATTCCCGTGAAACAAAAATGCCTTTTCATAGGTATATCTAGAGGTACATGTACACGTAATATTTTACAAATTCTTATCATAATACATGTATTGATAAAAAAGTTTTTTTGTTTCACGGAAGGAGGAGGGCATTTGTTTACAGACAACCCCCCCCCCCAAAAAATGTTAATTTTTTTCATTAATTTGGAAAGGGATAACAACTAAAACAGCGTATTTTTTAATAACATATGTTTATTTTTATGTATGCATAAAACGTAAGAAAATATTTCAGAAACTTTTATCCTCCATATCCAAGAATATTTTAAAATATGCTAATGCTTTCAATTTTAAAGGAAAACATCATCCACTCCCTTAAAAAAAGAGCTTGAATTCATTTTAATTAACTATTTAACACTGGTATAAAAATTATTAGTTTTAAAATTATCATTCAAATCTAATGTATTCAACAAATATTTTATGGCCAAATTGTCAATAGCATTAAATTAGGATCTACATGGGTTTAAAATGTAGGCGGTAATAAAGAGTTAGCGTATTTAACTCTTTCACCAAACTGTTGAAGTGCTTTCAACTCTTCATAGATTATATTGGTTGCTATGTGCTCAAAATCGTTGCCATTGGATTATCGAGTAAAAAAGAATTGAATAAGATGCTAATTGCTTTCTTTAAATCTGCCTGATTCAATTTTTACAAAATGACTGAAGAATCTTTAACAATTGTGCATGAATGTGCTAAAATTATCATTCTATGATGTGTTGCTAACGAGAAATTGCTGTTACCATGGAGATATGAAATTGTAAAATTATCCCTTATTTGCAGAAAAGTCTCAAAAATTTAATTTCTTGTAAAATTTGTTTTCAGAATTTAAAAATAAAAAGTTATGTGGTGTATGTTTTCGGGATTTTACATATTTTCTCTTTTTATTCATAAAAACATCCATTTTTGTTGCTAGGCAACGGATAGGAAGTTAAGAAAATTATACGCTTCTGAATTCAAATTCTAAAAGAACAAGTCCTCTGTTTTTACATTTTATACACACGATGTCTGCATCAGGTCCATCATTTGAGTAATTCGACACCGAAAAATTCCAAAATCAAGGAAATTGCTGAGTCAGCAAAAAAGGAAAAACATGTATATATACCCATATCTATCATACAAATATCTTAAATCTTATTTCTATGTTTTTTATTGTGAAAGCACTTACGATGTTTATCTTGAGAATAAAAGCAATAAAAAAGAAATTTCTCTATTAATTACATTTAGTTAGTACCCCAAAGATAAGGAATTTTTTCGTCCATCCAAGCTGAAAATTGGCTGGTTGCTAAGGAAATTTCTTTACCCACGTTTCCATAGTAACCATGAATCAACACATTTTTTATTTTACATACATGGTTCATAGTGCAAGGGAAATCTATGTATGGAAAATCATCGAATTCTGAGAACCCTCATATATCACCTTTTGCATGATTTTTACACGGAGCTGTACTTAAGTCCAATGCTGATGAACGTTTGTCATACCAATTGTTATGCCATTATTTACACACTAAAGTATCAGTCACATTATCCAGCGATGGAGTATACGATGAGAAACCGATGCGTGTTTTGATAAAAATGGCGTGCTTGTTGGCCAGACACCAGACACCAGTAATCGGACGGTGACTGAGGCCATTTAGCGAAGAAGTCGTAGTTTAAAATCAGCGATGTCTCTTCCGATGCCCCACATCGCTCCTCATCGGCAACCCATCATTAAAACATCTTTCAATGATTGGCCGATGTTTGGCCGAGCATCGTCAAGTGTCCGTTGAATCTGAGGTCATCGGGGATGGGGGAGTGGTGGGCAACAGACATTGGCCAATCATTGGTTGATGTTCGACCAAACATTGGTCCGTAGTCGACCAACGTACGAACGATGTTTACCAATGTATGAGCGACGTAATATTCATTGGCCGATTACTCTGGTACATCGTTTTATGGTTAGCAATGCATCGCTGGGCCTTTGTAAGTCCTGCCGGCAACCACGCCATTTTTATCAAAAAACGCATTGGTTGCCCATCGTTTACCCCATGGCTGGATAATGTGACTGATACTTTCAAGACTACTAGGCCGATGTGGACCGATGTTGGGGCATCGCTCACACTACGGATTACCACTGATTACATTGTACTACCGGTCTACGGCCACCGGCCGGGAAATGTGACAAAGGCATAAATTGTCTATGGTTTATGACAAGGAGCACATGGAGGATGTGGCCGGCTAGTAGGGGATGCTCACTCCTCTTTGGCAGCTAGCTGATCCCACCTCTGATCTTTTATAGGTCTGTCACCGTCTGTGTTTGCTCTGCTCCTGTTATGTATTGTTGGAATAAAGTTCTGAGGTGTAATACTGTTTATTTCAAATAGCATGTATATCTTAAATTTTAATTTGTCAGATAAAAGACTTGTTTAGGTGATCCTATTGCTTGTTCATTTTGTGAAACTTTGCAGGGTTCATATTTACTAAATGTTAAATCCGTTGATTTTTTTCGTGCAAAGAGTTTTTAATTCTTAAGGACCCAGCAAATTTTTACTTTAGAAAAATGAATTGGAAAACAAATGTCTTAATTAAAATTGACTTTAAGAACCCCATCTTCTTGTACTTTATAGACTTTGTAGTTACAATTGAAAATTAAAGGCTCTGATTTTGTGTCTGTTGAGTTCTGTAATATAAAAGTGTTTTTAAGCAAAATATACCCATCAATCAATTTGCCTCTGAATAGAAAAGCATTTCGCTATTTTTGGTCCATGCATGTTTCAAAAATGGCAGAATTAAATAGAAGAAACATTGCAATGAAATTTGTAGGATGAACTTAAGTACTAATCCTATAAAACATGTATTTATCATTCAAGAAAAAAATTATTCTAGTCTTTTCACTATAGTTTGCAAAAATCATGTTGCCATTTACTTTATTCACAGACCAGGGCACTGCCAGTAAGAACGAAGACATTTTGAACAGTAACGGTATTTCTGTAAAAGTTTCCGTGAAAAGTATCATTTAATCCAGATAAAAAGCTTTATCCAAAAATATAGCTTTGTATTTATTGTAAATACTTAGTATTAAAATAATAACTCAACGTTCATTATCAGTGCGGGACAATTCCTGTTTGTTGAGTTATCTGTGGATGATAAAGATTAAAATATTTTTAGTTTTCGCTTATTTTACAATTGAGTTACGCAAGGATTTTGTGTATAGATTTGCAATTTCTTTTAAAAATAACACAAAAAAGATACTCGATTTCAGCATTATCTAACCTTTTATCTGCATGGCCCAGAACTCATGTTTCATGTCAATGCGGTAGTCCAATTAATTGAACGTTATTACTTTGTTTATCATCACTCTATGATCAATAAATTTGAATCCAATTATAAACCATTTCTACTTTGTTCTCCCTTTTTATCTTAATATCTTCGTTTTGTGTTTCAAAAGGATTACGTTCTTCCTTTGTGATTAAATAAAGATTAGAAAGGAAAAATTCTGAATCCGTTGATAACTATTTCAGAACGCTATGCTATACAGATTGTATCTGAATCTTTTCTTGTGATTGCCTTACTCTTTTTCAACATGCAAGGTAGTAAGCACCGGCTTCTGGCAAGATGCGTGAAAATTGTAACTTTGTCGTTTAAAAATTATTTGACGTCGAAAAGACCTTTCTAAAAAATCAAAATAAAATATTTTATGTTATTTTTCTCAAGTCAATGCAAGTGTTGCTGCACGTGATGCATAATTAATGAGAATATTCACACTAAACCATTGTAAAAGTACAATTTTCAATATCTATGATGAGGATTTGTCATTTATGTCAAGAAATGTTTAACGACTAGGACATTTTTGTCATTTTTAAATTGCATTGTGGTAAAAGGATGTGCATAATCCGTTCACCACCAGGGGGTTGACAATTTCTTCTTATAATTATATTTTGTTTCCAAATGTTCTTTAGCTGTTAATATTTCAAGCTACTGAACGTTAACAATCAGAATATGAAATACTTTTTATTTGCGGCAACATTCAAACAAAATGAAATGAAAAATTCTATAATTAACTGAAGCTTTCTTCATACACGCACAGCTTGACTTACAAAAATAACCTTTCAGATACTTTATATTAAGCTGAGAGAGCAATTTTTACATCACTACCCCCTTTACAGCTGTTAATGTTATTCCACGAGGTTTAATAGGAGCATCTTTATTTTGATTTACAAAATCTATCCATTTTTTTCAGTTTGATGATCCAAGTCGTAGACAGGAGATAGAGTTTTGGTCAACGTTTGCTGTCCTCCCATACTGGGTCATTACCAAATTTTGTTGGTCTTGGTTCGATGTACATTTCTGGATATCCATGCTGATGTTCTTTAATTGTGCCACTTTAACTTTTATTGAAGCTATTACTTTTAAAAAGTCATTTCCAATTCGAAAACAGTAAGTGTATACGTTTATTTTGTAACTGTATTGTGCATTTTTTTTTTTTTTAAAAATCTATTTGTTACGACGTTTTAAATGCGAGAAGTTGGGGTAAGTAAAAACCAAAGTTTTTTTTATTGATGATATGTCTCATCCTATCTGGTTTTGTTTAGACATCTGCAATTAGGATTTACATGATCTCCCTACAAAAACAAAATGTTTTAACAATCGATATCGGTTCTTCAGTAGGTATTGCATCTGAGAGCTGTCAAAACTCTACTTTTTAACAGCTTACCGACCTGTCTTATTATCGGCACGCTTTCAAACGCACCAGTCGTCCGTTTGCACGTTATATTTCCGTCTTCGAAGGGGACAATTCGAACTGATTTACCCACCAAATCTGAGATATCTTGTGTAAACTTTTGCCCTTTGAAGCTGTCGAGGCTTTGATGTTCTCTTGGGGGCGGCAGACGGAGCCCCGTCTTTCCCGTTTTCTTGCCTCAGTAGAACTCATATCGTACAAAGATGTGAAATGGACAAATTTTTAGTTCATCTTTACATGTTTCCTGTGAATGGAAATGTCGAACGGCATCAATAACGTGTTAATTGCATCCGGTTTCTTGAATTGACATAATCTATGTAGGTGGATGCCCATGTCGCTGACAGTGTAACGCTTCTTTTCAATGTCAACCCACTTATTTTATGTTAATTCAATTTGTATAGAACTTCCATTATATATAAATATATACTTTACACGTTTTTCTGATTTAACCGTTTGCTGGAAATATGAGAGTAAATAAATAATTCATTAAACGTTCTTTAGCTTTTATTTTTTCCGCCGTCGATATTTTCGACAATTTTTATTTTTTCCGCCCTCGATATTTTCGACAATTTTTAAGTCTAATCTGTGAAGAAAAGTTCTTCAAATGATTGTCTTTCTCGTGATATTTGCAATTCCTCAAGAAAACGATATGCGCATTGAAGAAAAAAGAAGTATCCATTAACTACTGGTGATTTATTTGACAGAGTTTAAAAATCACACCATTCTGCATGTTAGACGTTGTCGTATTTCAACAAAACAGTTTCAAATATTCAAAATATTAGGATTTCTGAAATAAGAGCATCAATCCTGTCAGCAAATGCATATTTTAACGATGTTATTTGGGCGAAATTTCATAAATAATTTAAATGAATTTTGTTTTTTGTTTCAGGAATTGTTTAGCCAGCCTTAAGAGTTACGGTAAAGGTTTACTGTCAATGGTTTTCTTTGTTGTGATTTGGCCCGTTGTGCCATCGCTTGTCTGTGACTTTCTCTTCTATTCAGTTCTGTTTTTCACCCCTTACCACAACGTTGATAAAATACGAAAAGAACTGAGGTGAAAAAAAGTGCAACCTAAACGTTGCAATCACTTTACTTTTTTTAAGCACAGGACGATTCTGTTTTTAATGTTTTTAAGTGTCAATTTTCTCTATTTATAATTATAAACCTTACCATGAAGGTCCCTATATTCCTAATTTTCTTGATTTGATTCTTTGAAGCTCTGTTTTAAAAACATGTGATTTTTTTCTCTCTTAATTTGATGTGAGACATAATAATATTCTTTTAAGCCATGGAATCCAATTTTATTTCACTCATTATTTTTATATATAAACATCGTTCATTTTGTTTTTTAAACGAGATGGTTTTGGTGTTTAAATTTTTTTTATTTATTATTTTTATTGATGTGATATATTTCTGTGTATTTACTATTATATTGATAGTGACATTTAAAAAAAAGATTTTTATGGGACGCTTCTCTTTTAAAAGATAATCAGGAGATTGATAAGCCATAAAACAATACCTACATATGTTGTTATTTTGTCTCCTGGAAAGAAAGTCAAACATCTTTATGATGTTTTATTATTTATTAAGTTTTATCCCCCTGGAGTGTATGTATGACAGAATTTTCAACATTTGTTTAACTGATGTTTGGTTAAAACATTTTTTTTACAAGTAAATAGCTACTAGAATCAAGCTTTTTTGAGACCAGTTATTATTTTAGTGTGTTTATATTCATAGTCGTTATAAAAAGTATTATCCTTATATTTATTTATATTTGAAAAAAAATTAAACATTAAATTTTGCCTTCAGATAAGAAGGGGTTTTGCTTTCTTGAATTAGTATTGCAGGATACAAGTAGTAAGATGTGGTGTATATTGTAAGATATAATAATATATCAGACACAATTAAAACATTTTTAATTTTATTCATTATTAATGCATATTCTGATAAAGGAAATGATAAACAAACAATATTTATGTGCGTTGATGTTATATTCAAATTGTATTTTCATATGACTTATATTAGTAAAAGAAATGCACTATTCTGAAAAATAAGAAATTCTCTACTTAATATTTCTAAACTTGAATATTGCTTTGAGTTACCATGATTGTATATTTTTCATTACCGGTGGTATTTTCATACACTGATATTTTTTGTATTCTGACAATTGTAATTGATTGCAATTTGCAAAATTTTAGCAATAAAACAAATTAATCAATGTCTCCAATCTGATTGCTTTGTTGCACATTTATTTCTGATATCAAATATATGTGATGAGTTATTTAATGTCCTTCGAAAATTATTATGAGAGTAATTGAGACTTATTTGCATATTATCTATATATCAATGGGCACTTGGAGACTTTAATTAGTCTCTCTTATCATTTGATAATTTGAAGACGCTTAATGTATTTCAGTGGATGATTAATTAAATAGAAATCTCTTTTGTTGTGACATATTTGTCACGTGTTTATAATCGATTGTATTTAATTATCAAAAAAAAATTGGTTCCATAAAAATGATAAGGGATCATTATAATTGTAGCCAAAGTAATCAGAACCAGGGGGTTTCAGTTCGAGTTAGCTGGTTTTGTTGTAGATGAGCAGGGGTCCGCTTTAAGACTAAGGTAAAAACTTAGTTGATTGTAAAATTTTGCAAAAAATTATGTTTCTGCTTAAAATTGTTTTCATAAAAATATCTTTCTAAAATCTTTTCAAATATATCAGAACCGTTTTCAAAGCAATATAAAATGGAAAGTGGTTTGCATAATAAAATTTTGATCTTAAAACGGACCTCTGGTATCAAAATTTCTTTCAGAACAAGCCTGTTTAAAAGAAGTTGATATCAGAAGGGTCTTGATTCTATTTAAGATTATCAGATACCAGTTCTTTACATGGGGAAGTTGAAAGACATCCAACTGTTTATAACTTAAGCAACATTTGAATTTTGCTCTATTAAAGAATAAGGTCAGACCATTTCAAGGTCACCTCAACGAAGGGTCAGTATTTTAGGTTTTTGGAGCAGATTTTCCTTTCAAAATTCTCTGCCCTGAATTGATGTAAGATGCATGGATGATGCTTCTTCTGTTTCCTGGTTCTGAATTTTTAGCAAAGCAAAAATAGGTTAATGTTTTTGAAACAGAATAAGGTTTTTGGAGCAATTTTTATTTCGAAATTTCTATAAGCCTTGTGTTGTTCAAATGTATGGATTATGTGCACTACTATAGCAGATGCTGCTGCATCTGAACTCATTTTCCCTATGAAAGACCAAATTTAAGTTATAAAAGTTTGCTATTCCCTAGAAACTTAAAATCCTTCCTTGGCCAAATTTGTTCCTTGGGATCCGATCATGACAAGGAGCACACGGCGGGTGTGACCGGTCGGCAGGTGATGCTTAATCCTCCATGGCACCTGATCCCACTTCTGATGTTTTTGAGGTCCGTGTTTGCTCAGCCCCCATTTTGTATTGTTTTATGGATTTTTTTTTATCTTGAATACTGTTTGTTATCTCCATATGTTTCATAGTACCAAAATTTCTTCAGTTGCTTGAATGGATCTTTATTATCAGGATAAGAGAGAAGGTATTGGGGGTATATTCATTTCATTGTAACTACAAGCACTACCTGGAACAATCTTGAATAGACGATGCATCTGAGGGGAAGTATATACTAGCAATGGGACTTGATTTGGATGCTGGCTTTGACCTTCATTTTCTAGATGACACCAGTATAATTTTAATCCTTAAATGGAAAACTTGCACGGAGGATTCACTTACTGATGAACGTTTTGGGTCTGAATTTGCGCTTTTAAAAGATTTTAAATTCGCAAAGTTGGGTTTATAAATGCACACCACCAGATTTGGTTTGGATGTTAGAAAGAAAAGGAATTGTGTTCGGAGCAAGTCCTTCCCCTAAAAATGCTACCCAAACCAATGTTGCATCTTGGGATGTACTTAGTAAATGGGCATATTTTATGTCTAGTGTAAGACTTTTCCTAACTTCCAAAAAACATTCGATGAGGTGAGCTATTTAATCGTTGTTTGCCTATGTTAAGCTAAGATTGTTTACAAAAAAGAAACATGTCTTTCAAAAAAGTCTCATGAAGTTTGGCAAGAGATTCAAAGAAACTTTTATTGCAATTATATGCGGTTGTCATTCTCAGACATCAAACCTCACATAAGAAAATATGTTTATGTTAATACTCCATGTGCGATATTACTATACGAACATAAGTCCGCAGTTCAATAAGATTGGCAATCTGTACCATGATGGATTCTTGGACATTGTCTGTCATTGAGTGTGGCTATCTGAGCTCCGTATTGCAGAAAGTAATCAGTTCTAAGCGTAAAGAGATGAAAACTCGATAATGACTTGCTTTATGGATAGAAATAGACAAAGCAGACTCTACCAAAATCACAAGGGGACTTAAATGATCTCAAATGTAACAAACATGCTTTTGCATTGATATGGTATTTTATATTAACGAGAGACGTTGGTTTCCAAGGCACTTTGATTTTTTGAAAGGATTTTCGTAATTTTGCTAATGTTACAAGTACAGGGCTATTAAGAACTTTGATCGTGTTCAAGACACCCAAAAGAACCGTTAGAATTACGAAAACTGGAAATTTCTCTTAGAGTTCAGGTAAATAAGCATTACTGTTATGCACTGAAAATGCACCGTTCAGAGATTAAATTTGTGGTTTAAACCGAGTAATGCATCTCTCACTGTGTCAAGCTGTTTTCCTTTGCGTCTTTTGGACCCAGTAGCTTAATCCTAGCGCTACCAGATTCTCACCTTCTTGTGAACTACTCTAAATCTTAATATTAACAATATCTGATTCATTTTCCCTGCGGGCTATTGATAAATTGTCGCTTCTCCTCCTCTTATTAAAGTAGACATTTTCTAGTGAAGAAGAACCATCTTCTAATTTTATAGAAAACGTTAATCAATTCCAGTTTGGAGAAGGTTCATTAAAGGTTTTAAGAGGAAAAGCGATTATCCTGTTGTTATTACATTAATAAAGCTAGGCCTTCCTCTCTAGAGGCAGCAGAGAATAGAGTATGGTAATGACGCTTTTTTCACGCTTTGTCATGTGGGTTCTATCTCTTATGTTCGTTTACGTAGAAATAGTTCGCAGATGAGCTTCTTGAAGGGTGGTTGTAAATTGTGTGATAAATACTATAATAAATGTTCTGCTAATTCTGGTGTTATAAGAAGGGACCAAAAGCATTAATTTTCCGTATATCCTGTTTATTGTCACTGTAATATTCATGTTAATCAAAACTAATTGATTTCAATCACAATGACTTTCTATGAATAATTTTGTTGCAGATCTTTCAAATCAACAAGACCTACTGATTTGTTCGATTGTTGTTTATTTTTAACACTTCATACTTTTCCTGGTACTACAACTCTTACTCTTATTGTCATCTTTATGTCCACTTTATATGTTCCTAATGTTTGAAGACCAAAATTTCCAAATTTTGAATTTTCCCGCAGTAAGTTCAAAGCGTTCTTACTACCGAATTTACTGAATTTTGTTAATAAAACTAAATTAAATATGTTCGAAGGATGAAATGCGCTTGAAAATCTTTTTAAAAAAAGATAATATCTTTATGTTTCCTTCATGTGACTGACATCTTGTGTAATAACAATAGAAAACAGACAAAGACGCAAAGCTTACAAATATTTTATTCAATATTTTTTTCATAATAAGGATGGCATAAACATGTGCAATACCACTTCTTTCATTTGCAAATTTGATCAAGTTTGTATATACCTATAAAAATCGCTCATAATAACAACAAAGCAAAAAACAAGATAGTCTTCACATGACAAGCATTTCTTAATTACTTCCCTCCTTTAAAGTCAGACACACTGTTGTCTTTTGCATGTGAAATGCACTTTATCCGTGATTAAATCCCTTGAGGAACGTAACAGAAGTGCCATATTTTGCATATTGCATGGATGCATTTGCAGCGAGGAGAAGAGAGAATTTTTAAAATTGCAAGATCGTTTTTTCAGACTTGCAGACTGAAAAAAAGTCGGCCAAAGACCTTTAAATGCATATGATGAAAAGAAAGTAAGGTGGTATATGACAGTGTGTTGTTCTTTACAAAACATAGAATTTTTTTTCCAACTTTTCCGTCTTAAGTTTAACTAAAGACTTCACCAAATGTCTAATTTGAGTACTGGATTATGTTCTTATTGCCAGACACTTTCCAAATAAACCATTTTAACACTTCGTTGTTTATGTGATTTTAAAATCGAAAAGTTTTATTTTAAATAAGGCTTTGGG